ATTGCATCATTGTCGACTTGAGCTTCAGCAATAACTTGAAGTAAATGTTCATCACGGTCCTTTTTGCATTCGTGCAAAAGTTGGATATTTTCTATGATCTTCCACGAATGTACAGAAATAAGATGTTGCCGAGAGTTGAGGGCATCTTCCCATGTTTGATTGGCACCACAGAGATCAGTAACTGTGCGCCAGGGCACAAAGAGCGTGAGAAGAGCTCGACTATATCGTTCTCGAGTGTCATCACGATCTCGTCGAGGAATTTGTGGGCCGTAAAGAATAGTTACATGAGGTTCACTGTATTTTATCATCAGATGTGTTGATGCCTGTGGATGTTGTTTTTGAAAAGGAAAGCGTTCATTAGGTGGTCGACCTTTTCCGCTAATGTCTTCTTCCACTGGTGCGGTAGTCTTGGATAAACATTTCAGATCTGTTGCATTCATTTTCTTCTTATATAATGCACTGACAAAATCATATAAACACATATCATTGAGAATGTCGGAACGATATTGGTAATCAATTCTTGTATTAACGAGTACGTATTTTTTGTCGTTTTCAGCCAATTGAATCTGAAAATGTTCTTCGTCGTTGTTTTCGTTGTCAATAGCCTCGTCATCATCATACACATCATCGTCGATTATATCTACATATGCAAACAATACATTAGTTTCGATTTAATATACTTTTTGACAAATAAAACAATCTATAATTCAATTCGAAGGTAAATTTCTGATCAAATAGTTTACTTATTTTGTATCCCTAATGACTACGTACGATTATTCGTCTACTCTTCCTATTTTTCTCACAAACGCCTTTATATTACAGCTTAATCAAGTATAAACACTTTTAAAACATGAAATCAGATATAAATGTACTCACCGTGCGCTGCAAGTTCCATTTTTTGTTTGGCACATATTTCATTTAATTGAGCTTGTAAAAACCGTTCAGTTTGAATTAAAAAGAGACTTTGAAATTTGTGTGTTGTGTAATGATCATCCCAATTCATGAGATAAGACGCCACTTGAACTCCAGATAGCTCTTGTTGAGAAGCAAGTGTATTGTAGCAGCGTAAAACGAGTTTACGTGACTTCTCGATTGCACTTTCCTTGCTTGTCTGTTGCAATGAATTTTGGAACGATGTTATACTTTTTTGTACAAGAGCAAATGTATCATGAAAAGAGAGACTCATCTTTGTGACATAATCGGTAATATAATAAACAAGAGCCTTTGCATCACTACCATTCCAAATAAATTTAATATCCATGTTGGACCGACAAGCCGAAATAATGTATTCATTAAAATTGTTAATCCATGGATCCGATCGTCGCATAGAAATATGGCCAGTATCAGGATCAATTGTCGAGACTGGCACCAATTTACGTGGCATAAGCAATCGACAAATTTTCTTGTCACCTTGTTTAGGATCACAATACTTGTAACATGTGTCACTATGCTTGTGCTTGTTGTCTGTTTCCACAAGTTGTACCACATCTGCACGAAAGCGTGCTGCAAAATTAGGCAATGATGGATTTGGAGTAGGTAGGCAAGCTGGATTTATGTTTGATTGATTGTGTAAAACATTCATAACTAAAATATGATCTGTATTTTATCTTTTTTATTACTTCTGTTTCTTACTAGATGTTGGTCGATCATGTGTTGGTGTCTGTAACGATTTATTCAATAATGGAGAAGTATAAGGAATTGATGGAGAAAGTTGTTGCTTGATTGGTGTCGACCAAACAGGAGATTTATTTATATTTTTGGTTAGACCTGTTAAATCAATAGTACGTAAAGCCGCATAGATATTATCTTGTGATAAACGTGGTGGAGTATTGAATGTTCTTGGCACTACAATATAAAATCAGAAATCAATATTCGAATAAAAGTAAAACATTCCATACTGTCTAAATTCTCAAAGACATGTTTGTTTTTAAATTCATCCAAATCTTCTTTGATAATATCTTCTAAATATGCTATTAACTTTTCACGAAAATCAGCATTTTGAATCTTTTGTTTCATATCAGCTGGTTTCATTTCATGATCAAGCCAAATAAGAAGATGCAAATGAAGCGAACCTCGTCCTTGACTTTCAACAGTACCAAAATAAGCTTTTATTGGTCCAAGAACACCACCACTAATCATAGTATTTAAGATATTTGAAATTAATAAATGAAAAAATTTTGCGGTAGCAACAGGATGAAAAGCTATAATTTCGGCTCTTTTGTAAGTAGTCATCATCAGTTGCGCTATTTGAATATTATCTAAATCCAACTTGACTCCCGCAAAATATAATGCTACGGGACTGTGGATATCAGCTGGATTTAAAGTTAAAAAGATGCTTGGTAATCCTTGATTATAAATTAATGCATGAATACATGTACGTAAAGCCGTACGTGAATATGCTGAACCCATAACTCGACCACCGATGGTTTTAATATGATGAAATAATTTATTTAATACACTGTTGGATTCCGAACTGTATGTTTTTTTGGAAATGTTATCGAGAGCCATTTCAATATCTTTACTTTTCAAGGATTGAATTTCATCAGCAGATGCTCGAAAGTAAGGTTTTGTTGCGATCAGCTGAGCATGAAAACAAGCATCACGTCGTTGTAATAGATTGAAGACGACAAATATAAAACTGTGGTTCGTTTCAAAACGTCGATCATTGTACGATAACAGGTAACGTATGTGTTCTCGTAAGTTTACTTTAACTGGACGCGACTGATCTTCAGGTGCTCCACGTCCATAACAGAATAAAGTTGGATACAGACCTACGAGTAGTTTTGGATTAAAATATTCGTTAACGGGTTTCGAAGAATGAGGAATCAAATAAACATTTTCGGTGTCCATCTGTTCCTTTGTTCCGTCATTTTTAATTTTGTGCAAAAGATAATTAGCAATTTCATCTGAAGATACTGATGAGCCATTGACATCGAGAACACCACTAGAAGAGAAAGATTATCATACAATTGATTAATTAATGAGCTATATTCATCATTCGCTTATACGACACCAATGAGCAAAAAAAAATAGTACCTAAAAAAAGAGAATATGTTGTTACAAACGGCTTCTTTTTTTTAATCTTCTTTCTCTTTTGTTCTGTCTTCGAGAAATTATTCGTCACTTACCAATGACATCATCTTATTTCTTTCACTTTCTAATTTCTTTGATGTTTTCTCCGCCTCTTTTTATCAGCGTGAATAAGTTATGGTGTTGCAGAAAAGATAAATATATATGCATTCTATAATGACAATCATATAGATAACAAATCGAACATTATATATGTTTACATTAACTCTTTCAATCTCGGCATTTTCTTGCGCTCTGCATGAACACAAAAAAAAAATTTAATCGCTCTCTCTTGAGTTCATCAATCACAATTGTGTGTGTTCGAAATCTAAATTGATTATTCATAGCTATACGAATTGATTTTCCTTTGAACACGTCACTGGATACTCATCGTATAAGAAGACGAAAGAACGTAAAAGATTTTTTTTTTCGTTCTGTATGTCATTTCGAAGATGACGTCGGGCATCGAAAGAGTTAATATATAATCTGACAGATAATATAATATATTCATTCGCATGCACAAATTTTTGTACGTTGTTGTGAACAGAAAGAGAACAATCTATATTAACTGAATAAAATGGAGTAAAATAATTTTCACATATACTTGAAAGAAACTTTAATGACAAAAAAAAGTATTTTAACAGATAAAAAATATTTTAAAAAATAAGAAAAATTAAGTTGTTCTTCATCTCTGGCAAAAGAGACTTGAAGTAAAAATAGTGGGTTTTTATCGGTAACAGATCATATTTTCTCATGATTGGTTTTACGTCTAGGCTTTTTTATGATTTGTTACGAACCTTTGTAAAAGCTATTTGATTCTCCATTGTTCCCTTTCACTATTTCTTGTTGGTTAAAATACATTTTTTTGTCAGTAAAGCTTGTTTCAAGTATACATGAAGATTATTTTACTCTACTTTATTCAGTTAATATAGATTGTTCTCTTTCTGTTCACAACAACGTACAAAAATTTGTGCATGCGAATGAATATATTATATTATCTGTCAGATTATATATTAACTCTTTCGATGCCCCATATCATCTTCGAAATGACATATAGAACGAAAAAAGAATTCTTTTGCGTTCTTTCGTCTTATTATACGATGAATATCATATGACATGTTCAAAGGAAAATCAATTTAAATTTCGAACACATACAATTGTGACTGCTGAACCCAAGACAGAAAGCGATTAAATTATTTTTTTTTGTGCTCATGCAGAGCGCAAGAAAATGCCGGGATTGAAAGAGTTAACCCTTTACGGTCGGATGTTGCCATATGGCAACATTTTTCCCTATAGGGGTACGACTGTTTTCGAATAGCCGGCCGTAAAGGGTTAACGTAAACACATATTATGTTCGATTTGTTTTCTATATGATTGTCATTATAGAATGTATATATATTTATCTTTTCTGCAACACCATAGCTTACTCACATTGATGAAAAAAGGCGGAGAAAACATCAAAGAAATTAGAAAGTGAAAGAAATAAGATGATGTCATTGGTAAGTGACGAATAACTTCTCGAAGAGAGAACAAAAGAGAAAGAAGATAAAAAAAAAAGCCGTTCGTAACAATATATTCTCTTGTTTTAAGTACAATTTTTTTCCTCGAAGGTGTCGTATAAGCGAATCGGGAATATGTCTCATTGCTCTCACCTGTTACTAATTGGAATAGTATCTGCAGTAGTATGTTCTGTTGGATCAGAGAATGGATCAGGAACATATCCAGTCCTTTCAGATTGAATATCTTCATCACCTAACTTCTGTTCTAATGTTGACATAATACATTCTGGTACATCGTCTTCAGGTAATTGAGCAATATTTTCGAGATTTATGTTGACGTTTTGATAAAGTACATTGTATTTTTTCAGCCAGTGTAATGCTTGAATAATTTTTTTCTTCCGAACTGTTAGAACTTTTTTAAGATGAATACGTTCGGGAGGTCGAGCTCCAACAAAAATTACTTTGAGTGTGTCGCATAAATCGTCAAGTTTAAGTGGTAAGCTATTGACGATATTTGGTACATTTTGAAGAAATGTAATGCAGTTGCCTTTCAATGCTGTTTGGGCAGTTGTAGTTGAATGAAAAGGCGAATGAAGTTTTACTATACAGCTATTGTGACGATAAAGTGATATTAGTTTTTCTTCTGGAATCGTTAGTCCTTGTAATTCAGCAGGTATATCACCTAACCACATATTATTGGCAGCTGAAAATTTAGGAATAGATCCCTTCGAAAGAGCACCATGACATTTTTGACAAAGTATACACATGTCCACTTTATTTTGTTGAAATAAACCACTTTTGTATAAGATAACATCGTTTTGACAATAAAACGACGGTGAATCAAAAATTGAAGGACCTAAAATAGTTATAAAGAGTTTGTATGAATTTTTAAATTACAAAAATTATATATTACTTTTAGCATGTTCCGTTATCTTTGTATTGTTATTGTTGGCAGAGATTTCGGTGTCTCTTCTTGAATGTTGTAGTGGTGGCGATTGGATGTTTATAGTCAAATCATTGAGTTCTTGAGGAACTTTAAGTAAATGAATATTAGGAATTTTTGAGATTGGTATTTTCTTCGAGTCTTTTGCTGGAGTACGGACATTGCAAACTGCACAGGTAGCTTCAGCCAGTACTGACATGGACATTTGTTCTAAAAATTGTTGCAAACGAGTTTCTTTCAAGTCTCGAGAAATTGGTTCAGGCCAAGATGGATGAATGGAGAACCGCATCTCGGTATTTTCTTGTTCAATATCAATGTTTTCATATGTCTGTTTTTCAAGTTTCTTTTTAGCTCTATTCAGTTGACTTCGCTTTCTTTGCTGTTCGAGTCGAATCTGGCGTTGTTCTTCTATTTCATTCGTTCGATTGGATTGATTTCGTTCTTTAAGTTTCTGAAGTCGAATCTGACGTTGTTCTTCTGTTTCATTTATTCGACTGGATTGGTTTCATTCTTTAAGTTTCTGAAGTCGAATTTGACGTTGCTCTTCTGTTTCATTCATTCGACTGGATCGACTTCGATCTCTTTTCTTCTCAAGTTGAATTTGACGTCGTTCTTCTTTGTCATTCTTTTCCTTTGGTATTGAATCTGAAGAAATTGATTGAGCAGTGTTATTGCCGATGTTGACTTCACTTCGTAAACGTCTGCTAGGAGAGGACGGAAATTCAGGCATTCTTATTTGAGTAACAGTATTATTCTTAAACGCCCTTTTTTCAGGAGTCTAAAAAGAATTGGAAATTTTTGAAGTTTTTATGTATAGGCGAATAACTTACAACAGCGAGTGATGTTGATTGATTACCATTGTTAGAATCATTACAAATACCTGATGAAATAAGTGGAACAAAATGATTTGGACTCCATGTGCCATTATTTGCCTCTCGAGCATCTTTTTCATTCAAGGCATGTGACCACATAATTACAATGTTACAATTAGCAATAATAGGTGAGACAGGCGTAAAAACGTTATCCCAAATTGCCATATATTGTTGAAAGTCAATTTTTGGACAAACACTTCGTATATTACATTGAAGTATATTGCATAGTGCTGCTATTTCATATAATTCAGAAAATGTATAATTCTTGCAAATAGCTTTGATAGCGATGTTGACAGGTCCGACGTATTTTGAATACATATTTTCATAATAATTTTCATTTGTTACAAGTTCAATAATTGTCCGAACTAAAAATTGTTTGACAATAAATTATACGATAATATAAAAGAAAAATAAATCTGTATACCTCGTAATTCACTTGTTGTTACTGCTGGGTTATTCATTAGAAGAACAATAGAATGGTATAAACAGTTTCCATCAGCAGTAACTTCGATCGGAACAAGATGGTATAGATCACCAGTCGCTTTTTCAAGATATTTTTTAGCTATCATATCTACTACGTGTTTTGTCTCATCGAAAACTTGCGTGGGACGAAATTGAAGTCGCATCAGAATTGGTTCGATCTACAAACTTTTGTTCATAATTTAATCATTAATCTAATAAACTCACTTGTTGAATTCGTTGCACAACAGAATTGATTTCGTCATGGTACATGATACATTCAGAACATTTTTCCAAAATTTGAAGCAACCGTGTAAATTTTAGACCACGATTCATTTGACTACATTGTGGACAACAGTAACATGTACACAATATGGTACAAAAAACACATTGTGTGTTCATGTTTAGTTTGAATTAAATCGTTTGTATATTATAATCTAAAATATAATATATTTCTATAGTAAATCAGCCGCTTACAACCTTTCATTTAAAAAAAAACTTTATTTTGTAAACTTAAACTATTTTAGACAAATGTCGAGATAAGAAAATACAAAAATCATCGTTGAGTACTCTTCTGATAATATCAAATCAATAAATATTATGAAAATGCTACATCGTCTCTTTGTTTTTTTTTCATTTCAGTTGTTTGATGCTTAGAAGTATTCTCTTTGTAATTAACATAAGAAAAAAAGAAATCAATACTTCTATATAATATTCGACCTTATAATGGTGATGATAAGTTTTACAAGAAGATAAAATGCATGAATTCACTTTCTTGTATGCTGTAGTAAAAGAAACCTGTGTTATATCAACAGCTCATAAAAAATAAAGCATCTTTAAATATTTAAAAAAAAGAACGTCAACAATGAAGACATCGTTGTAATGGAAAATATACAGACGCAATCAATTTTCAAAAAAAATAGTTAAAAAAGAGCAATACAAATTTTTTAAAACAGTCAAAGCAGCTAAAGCTATAAAGTGTAGATATTTACACAGTTGACTACTGACTTGATTTTATAAATTAGAACTGAATATTGTCGAACAAAGTCTAATATAGTTTCTTCCACGACGATTCAATAAAAGATTAATTCGATTCAAGCATTTATATAATAATTATATCTGAGATTCACTCACGAATTCACAATGACATCAATCTTCTCGTAAATTGATTTTATTTCACTTTTATATTTCGAAAAAAAATTGTGCTATATTTGTATTCACTGATGAGATTAGTATGATTTAACTCTTCATATTATAAAAAAGTATTCTTTAAATGGCGAAGAAGTGATCATTTTTCCTAATTTTTAAAAGATTTCTATCGTTTACTTTACACAAACTATAATAAAAAAAAGGCTAATCTAAAATTCATATCGAATCAAAAATAACAAAATCAAAGAAAAAATACAACCGTGATTTCACATCATTATCACTTGAATAGCTATTAATTTCACATAAATATTTGCAGATGCGGTTAGCTTCATATATATTTTTTATACAGTTAAATGGATATATGTACATACTCAATTCATCATATTAAATTGGAAAAATGATTTTAAGAAAACTTATTTCACTTGCAATTAGTGCCTCAAGGCCTATAAGATGAAAATCATTAAAAAGAGGTACAACCAAAATAAATCGACTAAGTTTTATGTTCTAAACTACTATTCACTAAAATATCTGATTTATCAGATCAAACTCACTCAATATATAAATAAACGAACAATACATGTCTATAAATACATAAGATAGCATAAATACAAAGATAAAATGTTTCTCAATTTGTTTTTGAACTCATTTAAAGTCAGATATAACCATTACAAGACCCATATTCATCACAATGCCAATTTCTACAAGGTTGAAAAAAAACTAGTACGAAATTAAATACATACAACTGACCACTAACCCTCGTTTCAATTTTTACACTCAATTACATTCATATTGACTTAGCATATTGAACAATATATCAGCCTACAAAAGAATATAAATCAAACTTCTGACTTTTTTAAAGTTTAAATTTCATTATGTTCATAGAATGTAACAAATTTGAGTTTATATACAGGCAAAGTTATGTGAATCCAGATGTTAATATCTATGATGATATTTAAAGATATAAAATAGCCGATAAATATGCAGCCGAAGTCTGTTAAGTTCTCATTTTGCGATTTTATATTAAAAGAGATGCATTATTCGAGTATATAAGACAAATTGATTTTATTAGACGATCAATAGTAACCACTCAAAAAAAAAAAATAACGTACACATTATTTATCTGGAAAATCGATATCGAAACAATAAAGCAGTTTGGCATTTAACGATAGAAATCATATACCTATATTCTTACAATATAAGATATTTTTTACACCTAAATGCAAGAGACGAGAAAAGGATGGTGGAAACATCGTACAATATTCAATATAAATATTTACGAGGAAATCCGTTTATTTTTACTTTTCTGAATTTAAGATAAGACGAGTCATTTTTCATAAAAAAATGAATTCTCTAATTTAAAATGTTCAGGTTGTTGAATTTATAAAATCAATCATACAATATTCAATGAATTTTTTTTCGAATTTGAAATCAAATGACAAAATGATGTTTTCCTCTGTCCTAAATACAAACTAAAACGCCTCTATTTTTCACAAACCAAAAAAAAATTTCCGTTGAAATATGTTTGCTTTATTAAATATATATAGAATTGATTGCCCTATCTCTTTTATTTCTTTCAATAATGCGAAATAAGTCCTAAGATGTTCACTAAATTATATTTGTTAAATAAATATTACGATCTTTATCCTAGTTTTGCCAACTATGAAATCAAACAATTTTTTTTTTCTAAATTTCAAATTGTAAAATAAAAGTGAGCTTCCTCTCTCATGAAAACAGTTTCGTAAGTTAAACGTATTTGTTTTAATATTATCGAATTAACTATAGCATATTTAGGTTTTTTTCTTTTTTTGTGGAACGCACGTATATTTTTCGATGGAATTAATGACTGGAAGTTTTCCGACTTCTCCCGCTTCCCTCTCCCATTACAGACTGCAGCAACGAAAACAAAATACAATAATAAATGTAGAGGAACGGTTCTGTGGCGATCAATTATCTTTGCAAATGGCTATCGCGTATTATAGACTTGTCAATTTATATAATTTTTTACTAGTATAATAAAATAAAGATATGTGAGTTCCACATTTCAGCTTCAAAGGGGCTGCATTAACAAGCTTTTACGTCCAAAATATTTTATATCTGAAATAAAATGAAATTTGTCTCACAAAATAGGAATGTCCCTAGTGTAAACATTTTTTTTTCTTTCATGTATCAAATTCATAATATATTGTTGTTTTTATTTCTAGTTTTGTTTTTTTTTATTTCTAGTTGTTCAAATATAAAAGAAACTAAACTACTGTTTTATCAAAAGAGAACTTTTTGTTCAAATATATTAGTCTTGTAAATATATGAATGGAATTATATGATATTTCAGCTATTTTTGTCATATAAAACATGATGATATTGCTTTTCAACAACAGATGTATTTTGACAGTTAATACTGTTACTTGTATTAAGTCAATCGAATCAGTCACATCACATTTTATTTTTTTTCTTAAAAATGTACGATCGGGTTCCTATTCTTTTTAATCGCCGACTTTTCAAGATTATATCTTATCAATTGAGAGGATTTATAGTTTTCCAATGCGACAAATCGTAGTTGCAATACTGCGAACCGTATTGGTAGTCAAAAGACTAAACTCATATGTACTTACCTTAATTAAAACAAAATATGAAATCTTGATTGAAATAATATTTTTCGTTTCGATGTGTTCGAAAATTTATCGATGAAATGATTACATTAAAATATATTTTATATTAAAGATACAGTCTCTGATTTTTACACTAGGAAATCTGACATTATAATGTAGAACCGTTTCCAGTTGCTTATTGTTTGAATAATTTCTTTTTACTCGTACTGATTCATATCAACTCGGCATAGCATCAACTATACTTCTAACATTCAAAGGATGAAACAACGTTTGAATATCATAATCATTGTACGCTTTATTTCTTATCTCATTTGGTGAAATGATCAATCAAGAACAACGAACATTCGCGATGACGTTCTGTTTACTTTAGAAAATGATTAAGTGAATTGATCTTGTTCTGCCTCATATCTTTTATATGAGTGAAGAAGCAAACGAGTATTACATATTTCAAGGTTTAATCTTCAGTAAAAGTATCTGCCGTATACCTTGCCATTGTAATTAGGTAATAGTCCATTGAAGGAATATGCATTATTTCATCGAATTATCTCACAAATAAAAAAAAATGTTGAAAGATTTTAGCAAAAATATTTTTTAATTTGTTGAAAATTGGTTTTAATGATACACAGCGCTATTGTACGCCATTTTCAATATTTATTTAAACAAATAAATCAAATAATCAACAAAATTAGTTAATCGAAAACGAGCTACAATTAAAGATTATTATCGGCTTTTTTCATATTATATAAAAAATGTTCGAAACAGTACATAATAATAAGTTGATGATTTTCACCATGTTATATAAAATTTCAATTCATCTTATGGACTTTTCAAAGAAACTAATACTGGACTGAGGAACCTTTCGAAAATTTTCATTCTGACTTGTTCGTGTAATAGAAATTCTTCGCTAACCAAGTTCCCGTTTAGAAATTTTGGTTTAATATATTGATGTTTCAATAATTCTTATATTATAGTTTCATTTTCAAAATCTTCAATAGACCCTTTCTTCTCTTCCATAACACAATATAGAATTGATGGATTTCTAACAATTTCTTAAACATGTTATTCTTTCGTATACTCTTATTTATTCAATTGGTTAGTAATCAATTGAAATTGAACCAGTCGTCTTTTCAATAATTTTTTTTTTAGATAGATGACTCCTTTTATCAAAAATTCTAATCCAATCCTATCATTTTTCCAAAAGTGGAATTCGAAATAACTGAATTTTTTCTGAATTTTAATTTAAACTCTTGACTTCCCCAGAACTCCTAGCTAAGCAATTTATCTCTAATATATTTTATTTGCGTTAGTCGACTTTTTAAAATCTTATGTAGGCGTTTTTTCTTTTGAAATCTATTGACATTCCAAAAAATTAGAAGAAAAGCAGCTAGAATTTTTTGAAGTCAAATGAAACT